ATCGAGCCGCGCTCCGGCCGGGGTTGCCGGGCTTGGGTCCGACCCGGAGCCGCGCCGCGGGAGCTGGGCCGGACCCAAGCCGCGCCGTGGGGGACGGGCCGGGGACGGGCTGGACCCGAGCCGCGCCGTGGGGGCCGGGCCAGACCCGAGCCGGGCCAGAGCCGCTGGGGCCTGCGTGCTCGGCGGGAACGGGCGGCGCCTCCCCGGAGCCCTTCTCGCGCCCCCACCACCCCAGCTTACCTTGTGTTGCCTGCCCGCCCCTGCTTCTTTTCAGACTTCCTGCGAATCAGAGATTCGCGGGAAGCAGGGGAGGGGGCGGAGCGTTCAGGGAAGGGGAGGAGGGGGAAGTGAGCTGGGGGCGGGGTGGAGAGCTGCAGCGCGGGGCCCTCTTGGCGCGGGGCCCAATTCAGCCGAATTGGCTGAATCGGCCTAAAGCCGGCCCTGCTAGCCAGCCCATAATCCCTTCTAATATGGCACATGATAAGCCATTGCTTTATTTACCCAATGCCTTTCGCTAATAAAGTATATGCAAACAGTTCAGCAACAGAGGTGAGACACAGACCCTGAGAGCAGAACTTGCCCATCAGAGCCCCACTCCGTTGTACGGAACAGTCCTTCCTGTCCAAAAAGAACTGACCCAAAGCTCTGCCCAGAACCGGAACCAACACTGCTTTTTTTGAAGTTCAAAACAGCTCAGTACCTTTCCCCTGCCCCCCGTGAGGCTCTTGCCCATCCTGGTCACACGCCCACGTCCTAGCGCTGGCAACCCATGAGAGGGCTGTTCTCTCTGTGTTTCCAGCTTGGCTGAGACCAGGAAATGCTGCAGGCTGCCAGGGGAGCCTCTCCTCTCAGCAGTGACAGAGCAGAAGGAGCCACCGTTTTCCAAAAACAAAGCCTGGCCCTTTATCCCATCCATAATCTGATCCAAACTGAACCTCTGAGTCCTTCCTCAGCAAGGACGGGGAGGTACCTGGTGGGGAGAGAAGAGCAACAGAGCCTGTGCCTGCAGCCTGTGCCACACTGGGGCACCTGGTGACCAGACACACACCCACACCTTTCCACATGCCCAGGCCCAAACGTGGGGCACGAGCGGGGACAAAGTCCCAAACTGAAGGAACACAAACCAGCTTTTCATACAGAAAAAGTCAATGCCTGCAGGATTCCTCCCTGGGATTCCAATCGCCACCTGAAATCTCAGCTTCATGAGTCTTTATTTTGGGTGTAACTCATTTTCGGCTGTAAAAGTGAGGGGACACCATATTTTATCTGAAACAAAGGGTACCGGGGACAGTGGCAGCCCTTGAGTTGAGGGCACTGGAGAGCTATGCATGCACCCTGCCAGCCTACCCCTCACCTTAGTGTGTCCAGCAGGGTTCTTGGGATTTAGTTTGCAATCACCCACTTTGTATCTTGTGGGGTCTGGGCTTCCTATATCCGCTGCTGAGCAGCCACCA